ACCTGAACAGCAATGGAAGTCAGAGCATATGATCCCATGTCAAAATCAAGTTATCGTTTTCATCTGTCTGAGCGTCACAAATTTGGTTCATTACTGTTATCACTTTCTTTAGAGATCCAAACTAGATAATGTAAATACCTGATTCATTGACTAATGGCTTACCACTGCGTGTTAGTGATAGCAAGTGTATATAAAGAGCGCACAAAAATTTCTTTAACTCGGAATTCAGGTCGCACCTCGAAGATAAAATACCATGAAATATAAATCTTTTCCGCAAAAACAATTTGTCTTACATCACCAAAAAATTATACACTTTTGCAAAGAACTTTAGATCTGCATTCAAACAAAATTAAAATGACCAACAGAATTCTTGCCTTTGAAAGGGATATAATATTTTTAGTTATGGATTCTCTAATGCTTATCATGTCTTTTGCTACCACTGTTCATCTCCATCATATCCTTGATTTTAATATTAATTTTAAAAAGTTGACCCATGAGCAGCTGTTGGAAAAACAAGTACAAAAAAAAGCAACATTAAACTTTTTCGAAACCATTCATGCAGACTTTCCATTTGCAATCATTTCACACCTTTATTTAAGTCGATTTTTTTAAAGCAAATGAAAGATTGATGTATTTTACACCACTAATATTTGAACCAATAATATTTAAATTTTCCCTTAACCTTCTGTTTGGAAATTTGAAAAGTGAGGTTCACAAATTTTTTTACGATTTAATGTTTCTTTATAATACGCAAATAAATTTGTAAATATATTTACGTTTCACTTCACTAAATAATATTTGTTGAGAAAAAATAATTACTTGGATTTCAATTTCAAATATTTCTGGAAACACTTTAATTATTAATTTCATTGATCCTTAAGCATATGCAAAAGATTATCCTATGAAGAGTCAAATTTGAGAAGCAGATAAATAAAAGCACGACTTTTTAGGAATGACATGTGAATGTCTAAAAAAAACATACTGTGAAAGTATACTATCAAAGCCTCTTACTACAAAACTGCAAGAGTAATTAGGTTCATCGCACTTAAAAGAGACTCCTAAAGATAGGTATAATTTATTTGTTCTATTTGTGTAAATAACCTAATTCAACTCTGTCATTTTTGATCACTTAACAAGACGCGTTTTTGAAATAATAGATAAAAATATTAGAATATAAATGGGGCGTGTAGTTCCTTTTCATCTTTTTTGATCGATATCATTTACCTCGGTTGTTACTATATTACATTATTGTATTCAACAGTGTGTAAATTTGACGATAAAGAATTGTAAATTATTTTTATTATCATGATGCTGCTGTCCATTATGCCTTCTGTTGTAATGATTTACAGTCAACTGATTGCATTACTTTTTATCCTAATTCATTTTCTCTGCTATAATCATTAATTGCACCTTCATTTGATTACTGTATGTTGAAAGCTCAATCGAAATGATTAAACATCAAGCTTATATTCGGTAAAGAATCTGCACTCTACAAGGAAAAGTAAATTTTTTGATCACCATCCAGGAGAATTTATTTATTGTGCATTAATATTTGTGCGCAGGCATATAAATGTTTTTATTAGTACTGAATTATAAATTTAAATATATGGAAGTTTTCGTCAGAATAAAACAAAAATATTCACTCAAGCTAAATTAGACTTTTCTAAGTCAACTTTTCTGGGTTTTAGCTCTTTTTAAAAAAATTATAATTATTATCAATGAAAGTAGTAGTAACAAAAACAATCGGTGATTGACTGAGCCATGAGTTAAAAAGTGAAGGAGGAAAGCTATGAGCCATCTGGTATAAATCACATAGAAGTGATATTTTCTTACTTTGTATGCAACAATACGAAAATGAAAAATGAGTCTAGAGACAATTAGAGAAAAAAGAAAGAAAATACGATCTGAAAAAGATTGAGAAAATCAGTTGAAATATATAAGTTTTAGAAAAGAGGAATTACTAAAATAATTAAGTAACAACTCCTTGACAACGGTACTTACATGATGTTACATCCAGATTAACCTCTTCCTTTAAATCCGACCTTTTTCTTTTAAGCACTTTTGAGACATGCAGCTCATCCTTAATTCAATGGCTCATGGGGTTATATAAATAATAAATTAGAAAGAATTTTCTGAGAAATGTCCGTGAAAGATTATATCAAAATACTACGATATGTTGTAGAAAAAAATTCTTTCTTCACAAATATCAAAATTAGTGGGAAATTCTATATTACTTAATAACAAAATATAGGAAGAAAACACGAAACTGAAACTTTAATCATTTAAATTTTGTAGAATTTCCACAAAAAAATGCAGGGTTCAAAATAAATTGGCGGGTCTCAATGCTTTGGCACTTAAAATTTTTTATTACTTGCCTAAATATTGAATTGCATACATTCCAACTGAATGAAGAGACAATATGGTGATTTATGAGAACGAACTGGTAGATCAGACCGCGAGGAATTTTGCAAAATGAACGTAAAACTACACAGAATAAAAGTAGAAATAATGAAAAAAGTCATTGAGCTAGTTTCTATTCCATCTAAATGCTGTATCGTACAGAAGCGAATATTTATGTTAGTAGATATGAATGAAGCGGCAAAATAGAAGAGATTAAGTACTTGAAATAAAATCTGCTTAAATAAACTAAAAAAAGAAGCCTAAAAAATGTTCTAAACTATGAATCGTAATAATTAATTGATCTTCTGGTACAGCATCAAATTAGTATATATGAGAAGACTGGATAAATGAACTCATTATTAAGCGTTTTTAGTAGATTATCGTTATCAATCAGTGACAGGCTATACTCCTGTAAAAAAATGGACACGTAGGAATATTTTAGAAACGTTACTGTTGAAATCGGATACAAATCCTATAAATTATCGAAAGAAATCAAAAGAAATAGTAAATATTACATGAATATTTAATAATATTAATAATAATAAGTAGAGCAATAAAAGGACTATTAAAAAAAATGGGCTCTCGCGAAATAGCTGAACAAATTATAGTTTTAAGAATTACACAATTGAACAGCTGATTGTCAGTAAACCTTCAATATTTAATAACTCTGTCTAGTTGCAAATAAACTTTATAAATATTTTTAGTTTTAATTTTAAAATGTTCAGTAATCATGTTCAAATTTTGAGCTAACATTTTATATTGAACGACTGTTTGCAACAAACAAAAAATACAAGTGTCAATAAATCTTTCTTAACCTTTCAAACTTCTGTTATCACTATGAACTTGTAATTCTTGTTATTAAATCACATTTCAAAGAATAATCTGTGATGAATATTGCTTTTACTTACAGCCATATTCGTTCGTCAAGTAGTGCAGAAATCACGTATTATTATATAAACCAAATTTATTCACATTTCGAGTTTTCAGCTTTTGTACGTCATATGCGTAAGAAAAATAATCTTCCATTAGCTTCGATAAGAGTACAAATTACTAATGTGTAACCGATACTTTTAAATTGGAATTCATGATTGTAAGTACTTTTACTTAAGTTCCATTTAGGATTTAGCAAATATTTCAACATTTTTGCAAATAGATCACGCTCATTTTCGAGGGATAGAAAATAATGTCAAAACAAAAGCTTACTCAGAACGATCTTTTATTTTCTCGTGTGTTGTTATTCAGCGTGCATAAACTAACATGACAGAAAAATATAATGAACTATTGAAAATATCAAATCCGATAAGTTGATAATGGTGAAAATAAATAAATATGAAACAAATATAGTGATATTAACATCGTAAAAGACTACCGACCCAAAAATTTGATATGCTTAGGTAGCTATCAGCTGGCGAGTGATTAGAAGCGAAAGAAACAGAAAAGATTGCGCTTTGAATAGATTAATTGAGGAAAACAACTGTTCTTCAAAGTCTATACTTTTTAGCACCCGACCGTATTAAGAAAAATGCTTCTTGACTTGTCAGCTCAAGCTATAAACTGTGCAACTATTTTGCTGAATATGATTTGATACTTTTTTTGCTAGATAAGTTTGAATTACATTGAGTTATGCAACTGCTTTCAAGAACTTTAATTTATGTGGTGAAAATGTCTTGTAGAGCGCAAAATTCAACAGGGAACAAATAATTTATCACATATTGATGTTGATGGTGATAAATAATTACATATCAGCGTATATAAACAAAAAGTCTTTGGAGCAAAATTTTTGATGTTAAATATTTAGAGGATAAAAACAATACAGTACACAGCCTAACAACGTAGAGAAAGAGTTCAGTCATTAAAAAGAGCTTTAATTTTTTGAACAATAATAGTTAATAATAATAACAATAATAATATTACTATTATTATATATAACAAGGGAGAATCACATAAATTTATTAAGTTGAGCACATTAACTATCTGGCTTACTTGCAAAAAAAATTATTTGATATCACAAAAAATGTATTCTTTGATCTAGTAATTAATTCATTTTAAGAATGATACTTCACCAAAACAGCAAAAAAATAACATTATAGCACACAAATAAGTAAAGTTAAAGATCCATCAAATATATGCAAATCAAACTTAAGCAGAATGTAGCAACAAGTGACATCAAAAGTAATAACTACAGAAATGTAAGAGTTTATCACTGAACCGGTAGTTTCTTTTTTCATAAATGAAGAGATACCTGAATAAAGGAAAATGCAAAGAGCATAGAAAGATTAGATATTGGAGATTACAATTTTTATCACTGGAATGAAAATAATGCTATTCATCAGAAGCAAATTTAATATTAGAGTTGTAATATCACACTAATAAATTTCTAGTGAATCAAAAGAATGGGTAATAATAGCTACAAAAAGTATTGCTTTGTTGGAAATAAAAAAGGATTTTCAAATTACCTTTTATATAGTGAATTAAAAAATAATAAAAGAATTACAAGATTCAGAAAACCGGAATCATCAATAACTGATCTGCTAAATAATAATTTTTGAGACAAGTATAGATAAGGAAAGTGTAAAAGTTTCCGTGCACATGTCCTGCGTTTATAATAAAACTTTGCTCTCTATTTCGTTAATTTCATGCCTAGGTTGATGTCTTTGAGCAATACACCAACGCATCAGTTCGCTGTTTGATACATATGGAAAATGAAGAGGATTTGGGGTTATCGCAGATAATGTTGAAGTAGTAGTTGTTGCTGTCTGAGATGATGATGGTATTGGTGCAACAGCGGGTGGTGCTGTTACAAACTGCTGCGGCACTTGTGTTTCAATTGTTGCTGAAGCAGTAATGGAAGTAGCAGTAGCAGTAGCAGCAGCGGCAGCAGCAGCAAAAAACTGCGGATCTGAGAGTAAAATACTTGGAGTAGTTCGAGGGACATTTACTGGCAATGATGAGTATGCCGAAGAAGCAAGGAATGGTAATATTCGTGAAGTTTGTTGAAAATAAGGGTTGTAAAATGATGCGGCTACGCTACCATATTGCTTAAATGCGTCAAGGCGAGCTTTTGCTGTTGCTGACGGTCGCCTTCGTAGTTTACCCGTTGAACCACCAATAAATACTTCATCTTCACAAGAAGCATCTAACATCCAATAATTACCTCAAAAAAGTCAATTTTTTTCCTTCAGAATTTAATATATTCGGAAGCACTCCTAACTTACATCACAGTATGAAAAATTAGTTTCAAACAATTGCGCATACGCTGTTACGCTATGGATTACTTGCAATGCATAAATATTTAATAGAAAATAAATGCAGTTAAAATTGGTCATATTTAAATTCTGCAAATTATTTTAATTAGTGTTGCATTAAAAAAACTAAATTGAGAAAAACTAAAGATTCTGTTCATTTTTGTATTAGATTGTTTTTAAGGAATAATAAAGGAATACAACAATCTTTTCTTGACTGCATTCATAGCAATCACCTTTCCTCTTCCTTATTCTGATTTTTCATACTATAATGTAAGCATATTTCTTTGATGATTTCGATTCATCACAGAGAAAGAAAGTAACTTCTATTTAAGTCTTTCTTCAAATGGCAAGAACGCGCTTTTTCAGCAATCATTCGTTCAAAAATAAACAAGAAGATTTATATACATGTTTCAGTTTATTTTGATGCATTAGGATCAGACAACTACATGGAAACACAAAGTAAGTTCTGATTAGTTGGAAAGTCGTAAAAAGGTACCTTTTCCAGGGTCATCATAACTTCGTGGTACCTTAACGAAACATTTGTTAAGCGATAGATTATGCCTAATCGAATTTTGCCATCCTTGTTTATTATCTCGATAAAAGGGATAATTTTTCATAATATAATCGTAAATTCCACTGAGAGTCAATCTTCTTTCCTTACTGCTTCTAATTGCCATCATTATTAAAGCATTGTAACTGAATGGTGGCTTACCAGTTTCGTCTGACTAAAAAAATTATAAATACTTTTATTTTTTTCTGTGAAGTATTCAGGGAACTGACTTTTAATGCGAAATCCATTTAATAGTGGAGGTGATGAAAATACATGAAGTTTTATAAGAAATCAAATGTGATGAAAATGAACAGAAGATAGTATAAATATCGCGGGATTACAAAAGCTTACAATGTAACAAATGCATTATAAATTAAAAAGAAAAACTTCATGATGTAATAACTTAGTAATTTTTTTCTGAGTTATGCAAATTTTTCCATATCTATAATGGTTTCAATTATAAACTGAAACGAAAAACACTGCTGCATGAAAATGGTCAACTAAGTTACTAAAATCATACAATGATTCGTTTCAGGCATAAAATGTAAGAATCAATAGCAAATTAATTTGTTTTAATTAAAATAATAAACTGAAGGTAAACTAATAAAGTAATAAAACAATCTAAAGTTATTGTTTATATATTACTGAATATAACTTTGCATCAAATAAAAACCAAACCAACTTGATACTTCATAGGAATCTTAATTGGACTCACCATGCGAGTAGTGTTTTTTGCAACATTTAATATATTTGATTTCTTTTTTCCAAACAAACATTACAGTTTATGTGTAATAGAAGTGATAAACTTTTTTTTCAGCAACTAAAAGCTTCTATTATAAATTAAAATTCTGCATGCAACTTCACATGATCAACTGAATGTAACTTAATTACTTTGAAAACAAAAATGTGTCAATATAAAGTAATAGCAGTAGTAGCACGTGAATATGTCGTTCAGAAGAAGGCACAAATTACAGAATAATATAATACTGCCAAACTGCAAAAGATTCTGGAAAAAGTTTGTAACAGATATAAGCTTTGGGTTGTTGGCACAAGAAAAATAAAACTATCTTAAACTGATAAGTAAACTTTTCCAGTGAATTAATTTCTTAGCTGTTAAAAAATTCGTACACTTTGCAGCTGATTTCTGAGAAATGACAAGAAAAGACAGACACATGTAAAAAACATTGAGTAAGAGGTAAGAAAGTAAATCGGTAATAATAAAGAACTAAGTTGATCAATCACAATTGAATCTTTTGCACTTTTGGCGTTTATCAGTATGATGTGAAAGACAACAGTAAAATCTTAGAAGAAACAGACGGCACGTATTTTCAATAAATGATTTAATTGCAAATATCTTGCTCGTTTAACATGGACGACTTACTTTTTTACTGTCCAAGCTGACATCAGACACATTTTCTTCAGTTGTTTCATCAATGCACTCTTCCTCTCTTCCATTTTTTACTTCTATAGTAAAAGCTGCAATATAAAATATCTCACTTTTCAGAAAATATTTGTTACTTTAAATCAAACATTTAGAAAAGATTTGGACTTCGTTTCGAAAAGAAATTTGGTACAGAAGCAAAAGTTGTTGGAGTGAATATTGCATAAATGTAAAGCATAAATCTCTGGACTCCAGATTTATTGTGATTTCAAAATTTATTGTGAGTAATGTCTTTAAAAAATAAATATGCTAAGAGATATTGAAAATATTGAAGAGTGCTATTATTACTTCACAAACCATCAAGGTATAACATACATGTTGAGCATGCTGACCTATCGGTCACAAGGTCAGGACAAAGCTCAGAAATGCTAAATTTTGACATTGATTACCCTTCAAAAAGCCAGCCTTTGAATCTTTCCCTTTTTTTCTTGAGTGTCAAAGTCAGAAGCCAGAACTGAAAGCAAATAAAATGGGTAAAATAGCGAAACAAATAATTTTTAAGATTATTCACAACGTAAACAGGAGTGAACGGATACAAAACAAAGAAGTTAACAGTGCTATAAATGTAAAGAATTAACAGTGTAAAGAGTGACACATAAACAAAATTATTCATTACAAACCGTGTGCACATTGTACTATATCAGGAACCGCTTGTCATCAACAAACCTCTTCATTAAGACGTTCTGTTTATGCAAGTAATTCTAAATATTAATCTACAACAAAACTCCCTCCCACTCTTTTTCTCTCATTTCATGCATGTGTGTGTACACATCACAGGATAAGTGTCATTTATTTGTGAACACGTTTATGCATATATAAGCATAGATAAATACACACTTATGATTGTCAGAAAAGACAGTTAGAGAAATGCAGATTATAAATACGCAAACAAAATATTCTAATGATTGGTTGTTGGAAAACGGACTGCTCATTGTTTATTACAACACATGGCAATTAGAGGTGGAGCATATAGTAATCAAAAAGAAGGAGGAGCCAACAGTAGATAGTGCTCCAATTGGCTCAAAATGGTCGACACAAGAGTCAGCGAAGGTAGTCGTATTTGGTAGACATTGTAATAGAAGAAACAGTAACCATAATTTAAAGACAGCTACATTATCATTATAACTGATTGGAGGTGAAGTGATTAAGACAATATTTGAAAACCTAAATCTTTAGTAACAGTAAAGATTGCTGATTTAATGTCATAATCAAATGATGATAGTGATATAATAATATACCACCAATACCCTGCTCAGTTTATAATGTAAACTAAAAGTAAATATAATTGAAATACGGAGATGTAAATATGGTTCGAAGCTAATCGTGTTTATTTGAATCATTTTTTTGACTAATGTACTTCATATTGAAAAAAAATATGTGTAAGCAAGGATCAATGATGAATTTCCGCTTAAATTTTTGTTTGTTCAAAGGATGTTGATGAAAATAAAATTATCTCGTTCATCATTCAGCTTGTTATACTATGAAGCTTGCTATAATAATGATAACGTGATCATATTTCATTACATTGTTGAATTCTTTGTTAAACTGACATACGTATTTGATAGTTGTTTTTCTGCAAATATTTCACATAACTGCGTGATAGAAAATTTGAATAGTTATGAAAAAGAATCGAAAAAACAAAAATAGCCATGATTTGATGACAACTCTTATTAGAAATTTAAGAAAAATACTGATTTAGGTAGTGAAGTAACGAAACGTTTACGATCTGTATGTATATAAATCAATTTACTTTCAGGCATAGTGACCACAAGTAAATAAAAATGGATAAAAAATATACGCACATCTTTCGTGTTGAAATTTTTTACTACCAAAAAAGTAAATTATTATAATCACAAGTAAGCATGTTTTTGTAAATTTGAGGAGCTATCTTTGCTAGAATAAAAATAAAAAATGTATTTTCTGAAAATCTGGAAAGAAACTTATGCAAATAAATCATTACGTTAAATACGTGATAATTCGTTCATTTTGTGCTAAAATCTTAATATTTTGAGAAAGTATGACAAAGGTTAATTTCAAAAATCACCATTAATCAAACATAGTCTATGAAAGAACTTACAAAAACAAACTTGCACAGCTTATTAAACTGACTTCAATATTAGATAGAGACTACAAAAATTAAGTAAACTCATATAATGCAGGTCATATTCGTTTTTAGGCCACAGAAACAAACAAAACTGTAAATCAACCAACATTTAGTCGCATGAATTGAAAGGTCCACCTATTTATACTTCAGCTTCAATTCTGAACATAAACATATACATTTCTGAATGTATCTGACGAAATTCAAAGATCATTTGCTGAAATTTTGGCAGTATTACATCTCACTTTTAACGCTCCAACAATGATGGTAAATCAATATCAGTAAAATCAAATAAATGTTCTCGAAGCTACAATTCAATTATGACATATAATTGTTAAGTTTTTTTAGATTAGAAATTTGAAAATGATATTGAAAGATAAAAAAATTGCCGTTAAACAGGGGGCTTTTGGCAAAATAAAGTAGTCGTGCTTATTACAAATAAGAAAAAAAAAGGAAATCAGCATCATAAGCAAATATTGCGGACTAATTTCAAACATTTAAAGTAATGATGCTAATTGTTTTAAAGCAGTGCTGTTTTCATACTGAAAACTAAGTTTGTCTTAAGTTTTTTGAATGATTTTGAAGTTAGTTTGAGAATGTTCTGAAAAACAAATTATCGCTACTAACTAAATTTAAAATACTCTCTTATGAAAAATAAACAATTGTGAAATAAAAGCTTGTCTGAAGCCAAGAATACCAAAAATTATTACAAGCTACCTTGTCATTATTCTTTTTATTCAGAGCTAAACATCAATAGCACGTAATATACTATTAGTGTTTTATTTGACAGCATGGAAAAGATAATTTAAATGGTTTTCAGAATAATTTAAATACTGTACTGAATTGCGATGATAGATATGCTAGATAAGCAAAAGTGTCAGATAAATGCTAATCCTAAAATTGTTTCTTCATTTATTTTTAGTACCGAAAGAAATAAAACTCACATCATTCAACACCACTTTTCATATCACCGATCATTTTATCTTTTTAAGTCTAATACTAACAGGTTTTGAAAGCTACTACTTATTGTTTTAGTAATCGGTATCAATTTTCCAACTCTAATCACTAATTGTGGCATTTTGATTAGGTCACAAGACAAGTTTCGTACTTCTAATAATAATGTCATTTGTTAGGCAAAAATAATGTTGTTCAAAATATATGTATCGAAAATTTCTTTTGCAATATTAGTAACAAAATATAAAGATTATTTTGTATTTGATATGCATTTGCTTGAATGAAAATCAATGTTTACAGGATATCCAAAATTTCATGGAACATCTGAAACACAATTTTGTCTTTGATGTGAAATATGTGGTTAACAAAAGACTTGGAACAATTCAATTTGAGTCAGTTATCCAAAACGCAGCAGCATTCATAAATATCATGTCAGTGTAAAATATTAATTCTAGTACACCAATTATACCAGTGCCCTTTCCTTAATGTTAAAATCTTCAATCATAACATCAATAATTTCAACCAAACTTCGAGCGCTCCTTTGTATTCAACTTCAGTGACTCATACTTCCGTTTATTTTATTAGATGAACGGTATAATGCAGCAGTTATTATGTCTTCATGCTATCTTTTTTTCGTCTCTTAAGAAGTAATGTGATTTTCTGTGTAATAGTACCGCCTGTAATTCTAAGCCGTATGGAAAAATTAGAAAGATTTCGTGGGAGAACTCAGTGAAGCAAAAATAAAAAAAATCTGCCACAAGTAAATGAATGCTTCGATGATTTGGAGAAATTTGTTTTTTAAAATGAGTATTATGATGAATAAATTAATGTAGGTATTGGACATCGAGAAATGGTATTTACTGTTCTATTAAAAGTTACCTGTGTTATGTCATTTCAACTAAATTTTCTACTTCTTTCAAAATTACTTTTTGCACTGTTCACATTTCACAGTTTCAGTTCCGGTATTCGAAATTTCATCTACAAGCATCATCATGCCATCAAATTTTATCACAGCATAAATGTAATTTTCAATCCTTCACATTCCAAATAAAAAGCAGAATCGTAGAAGTTCAGTCATATCACATCTGTGTATTAATCAATCTGATAAGAATTCAACTTGATTACTAAAAGTATGCAAAACCCAAGTTATGTAAACTTAATGAAAATAAATATGAAGTAGCATATTCTGCGTATATGTAATAAATGGTTGTTACTGGTGACTTATTATGTACGTCTAACATTGCTTGAAAAAAAGATAAATTAGCAATGCAAAGTTTGCATTGTTTGGACAAAAAGTTTACAACTTTGAATGCAGCTACTCTCAATTCGTTAATATTAAGAATTTCGCAAACGGTGCGATAAGTAAAAACTGCACTGCGATTGCTCACAAATAAAATTATTCTTCGAAGCCGAATTATATTTGGTATGCAAAAATATTTGATTTGAGATAATGATTCTGATGGTTACTTAAATTGAACACAAATATCCATTTTCGTGCTCCAACAACAAAAGTATCTGATGTAATTTTCACTCGATCAATCCAATTTGTTTTCTTAAACAGTTATAAGCAATACAACAATGCATGACAGCAAGAAAAGTGAGCTTTTTATCAAAATGAACAAATTAAAATATTATAAAAAGCATGCTGAATAATGTAAATATTTTAGCAAAGTAATTAACAGTTTTATAATACTATAAGGATATATTTAGGAAAACAGTAGCACAAGATGAAAGAAATAAAAGATTCAAATTTACATTTGCCTTACTTTGCTCTGCATTTCAGGAAATATCAAAAGGATAGTGAATCAAATGCTAAAGCTAGAAGAGTGACAAATGCATCAATCCAGGGGTATTAATAATATTAACAAATACTGCTACTGGATGCACGAGTGCGAACAACCAAACATCAATGACACTTCATTCTAATCATCAGTCGCCAAAGACAAACATTCCATTCTTTGGTTTGTATTTATACATTCTCTGCATGGATAAAATTAAATACCAGATGGAATGGTTAGTTATTTACCTCGAATAACTGATACAATTATGTTTTGAAGAAACATTTTCTACTTCAATCAGTACACTACATGCTATTAAATGATTGTCAGCAGCAGTCGGCAACCAGTGAATACTTAAAAAAAGACAGTCAAAAGCCAAAACTATTTTTCACAAAATGCGCATAAAAGAGGCACAAAATCCCCAACAATTCTAATGCAAATATGATTATTATTTATTTTGTTACCTCGATTTTGTTCATTTCAATAATGTACTAAGTTTGGCTTTATTAAATTTATCAAATGCTTGACCAGTGAGCAATTCCTTCGTTT